AAAAAAAAAAAAAAGAACACATGAGAGGGTTTCCAGTGTTCAGATCTTGACCTCTACTTCCAAATAATACCACTACAATAATGAGTTGAAATTGGTATTTAAGACGTGGGAATTCCCATTTTATGCCACTCAATGTTTAGAATTGACATAAATCTATAGAAATGACGATGTTACTCTACAGAAGGGAAAACTAACCTGAAAGGAAACATCATGAAGATATTTCTCTACATCTAGAAAACCCTACTTCTTTCCCTGACTGCAGGCATCTGAATCCCACTCATGCAAAGAGGAAGTTCCAAGAGACAGTCTTCAAAGGAAGGAACAAAATTCTGAGTGTGGTTTGGGAAGTCTGGAAGGAGTTATCCTCACCCAAGAAGAGAAGGTGTCCATAGTTCTCTAACATCACATCCCTGTACAGTTCCTGCTGACTGTGGCTCAGGCAGCCCCACTCCTCCTGAGAGAATTCTATGGCCACATCCCTGAATGTCAGCAACCCCTGCAATAAATACCATAGTTACTGAATGGCCATAAGCAGAGGTCATAATGGTACCTAAGATGCAAGAGGGAGTTAATGTCACTAGCTAGAACCCCAGACCTGACCTTCACTGCTTACCTGCTTGTACCCACTGACCTCAGTCCCACATTTTACTTAACCCTTTTTTCTACCTTATCTTTTACTTCAGGCAAAACACCCCATGGGCATAGTGTCCTGTGGTGGAAACAAAGTATCCAATAAAAGCTAGTGAATACTCTGAGGAAGAGCTTGGATTAACTCAATTTGAGCTTAACCCCTGACTCACACCTATGAAAATGAACAATAGAGTAAACCATGGAGTGAGGTCAGTTACATTTATATCATTATGTTAAAAAAATTAAATTTTTATTTCCTTTAGAGAGAGAACACAAGTGAGGGTGCAGCAGGGAGGGAGGGAGAGAGACAAAGACAGAGACAAAGAGACAGAGAGAAAATTCCAACCAGGCTATATGCTCAGTGTGAAGCTTGACTTGGGGCATGATCTCAGGACTATGAGATCATGACCTGAGCCTAAACCAAGAGTCAGATGCTCAACTGAGCCACTCAGGAGCTCCCTTTTAACTCAACATAATACCCAAATCTCCACCCAAGAAGGATCACAAATATTTTACTATGTAACATACAGAGTATGTACAGAACTGTTTTCTTAAGGTTCATGCGTAACCTTATCACAAGCTGGACATAAGATGATGACATACCCTTTCTGAATATCCACCCTAACCCTAAATAAAAGTAAACGATTTCTCCTGCCTCTGAGTCTCTGCTTTAGAAGTTATTCCCTGTGACCTCCTTATTTCCTGTAAATCATTTTTTGTCTGACATCCCCACCTGGTGTAGTAGTTTTGTGGTTCACCAAGGACTAAACTCCTGTTAGCTCAGTTATATTAGGAGCACTGGTTCTGGCTTAGGTGAGTTTTCTGCTTTCTACAGTAAGAGAATTTGCAACACAGTATCATCCTCTAATATATTCCCTAACATTGAGATAAGAACATTTATAAATATTGTGTTTATTCAAGTGAATTTGTAAAATGAAGGCATCAACACAGCCATACACATTTTTGAATCCTTTATTTACATCATACAGTACATGTGTCTATTTCCTAAATGGAAAGTTTTGGTGAGTTACAAATGCACTTAGCATATTCTAATGTGAATTAGAGTTTACAACAGTGCACTGGGGATCCTGTTAAAATGCAGATTATGTTCAGGAGTTCTGGGATTGGGTGGGTGTCTGCATTTCTAACAAGGCATTAGTCTATGGGCCAAGGGATACATATTTCAGTAACAAAGAAGTAGAACTCAAAGACAAGAACTCTTGGAGGACTTGGAACTGAATGGGTTTTATAGCAATTACAAGTTCTTCTAGGATAGCAAGAAAGGTGACAAGCCTTTCCAATCATTTCCTGGTTAGTAGATAGCATCTAACAGGTTCTCATAAACTCATGGAAAATAAATAATAATGATCTAAGAGAACAAACACATTATTCTTCCATTTTTACGGAATATTTTGTGAAATATCCAGTACATGATACAGATCAGGTTTTAACCCAGGTTAACTGACCTAAAGTTGATCTAAAATGACACATAGGTCAATAAACAGAGGGGACCCTAAAGCAACATTCATAGCAGGTGTCAAGCCTGAGAAGAAGGTATCCACACAAAATTGATCTTTATACATTCCATGCACACATCCATTCTGAAAGTAGTTATATACACATTAAAAGTGATAGAATAGAAAATTATCAGGATGACTAAGAAATATATTTAATGAGGGGTTCGCCAGATGACTCAGTCTGTTAGGTGTCCAACTCTTGATTTTGGCTCAGGTCATGATCTCATGTTTCCTGAGTTTGAGCCCCATCTCAGGCTCTGTGCTGAGTGTGTGGAGCCTGCTTGGGATTTTCTCTCTTTCCTCTCACTCTGCCCCTCCCTCTCTCTCTCAAGAAAAAAAAGAAAGAAAGAAAGAAGGAAAGAAAGAAAGAAAGAAAGGAAGGAAGGAAGGAAGGAAGGAAGGAACATTTTCAATGCCATGAAACTCGTAAATCTAGTTGTAGATGATCATGCTTAGGTCTTTCACTCAACTATCAACACAAACACATAGAATTATATAAATAACACAGTATGTGTGAGTCTAGTATGATTAGGGATGCAAGAAGAAAAATGTTCACCTTCAGCACAAAGACTGCATGTTTTTTATTTTTTTAAATGTTTATTTATTTTTGAGAGAGAGAGACAGAACATGAGCAGGGGAGGGGCCGAAAGAGAGAGGGAGACACAGAATCCGGAGCAGGCTCCAGGCTCTGAGCTGTCAGCACAGAGCCCAATGCAAGGCTTGAACTCATGAACCATGAGATCATTACCTGAGCTGAAGTCAGATACCTAACTGACTGAACCACCCAGGCACCCCTAGATAGTTTTGATAAACATCAAATAAAGGCTGGTTCCTCCATTCTGTTTTTCAAGTGTTTATTTATATTGTGAGAGATGCATGGGCTATCAGGGTGTGAAAGGTGGAGGGGCAGAGAGAGAGAGAATCCCAAGCAGTCTCCAGTCTGTGTCTGAGCCACCCAGGGGCCCATGGATGATACATTTTAAAGGGTCTCCTGACTGCCCTTATATCTCACTAATAGTTAATGAGCTGAATCATAAGCACCAAAGAAATCTTGCAGAAATAGTTTTACAAGTAGAAAGCTAAAGAAACATTTGCAATTGAACTCTCAGTACACCTATCCTTCCCCTTGAACATACATGTAAGCTCCAAGCAGCCAAAGTACAGTTCGTTCTGCCCACGGGTCCTGTCCCTGTGCTATTTCAGTAAATTCCCTGTCTTGTGCCATACAGTAACTCAAGAATAGCATCTTGGGGCGCCTGGGTGGCACAGTCGGTTAAGCGTCCGACTTCAGCCAGGTCACGATCTCGCGGTCCGGGAGTTCGAGCCCCGCGTCAGGCTCTGGGCTGATGGCTCGGAGCCTGGAGCCTGTTTCCGATTCTGTGTCTCCCTCTCTCTCTGCCCCTCCCCCGTTCATGCTCTATCTCTCTCTGTCCCAAAAATAAATGAAAACGTTGAAAAAAAATTAAAAAAAAAAAAAAAAAAGAATAGCATCTTGACCATAGTACTCAATGATCCCATAACATACTAGTTCTTGGAAAGCTTTTTTAAAATTATTTTTGAAAATTCTTACTTTATTTTTTATTGAGAGAGAAAGACAGAGGGCATAAGTGACTGAAGGTGTGGGGAGGGAGAGAAGGGGAGGGAGGGAGAGGAGGAGGGAGGGAGGGAGCAGGGCACATGTTCACCTGAAATGGGGCATGCGCTCAACTGAAGTAGGTCTTGAGGTCACACCAAATGGGACTCAAAGCAACAAACCATGAGATCCTGACCTTAGCCAAAGTCAGATGCTTAAGGGAGTGAGCCACCTAGGTGCCCTGAATTCTTTTTTTTTTTCCTTTAGACATTTACTTATTTTGAGAAAGAATGAGCAGAGAGAGATAATTCCCAAGCATGTTCCAAGCGAAAAGCATACAGCCTGACATGGGCCACTATCTCATGAACCATGAGATCATGATCTGTACCGACATCAAGAGTTAAGGTTTAACTGAGCAAGCCACCCAGGGGCCCCTCATTGAAAGCTTTTGTTTCAATCATTATTTGTGCTCTATTGTATTTCAGGATTTTAAGACACTCAAACATGCTTATTATGTGATTTGTCTTTTTCTGAATATCCAAAAAGTAAAGACAGGAATATGTCTGTGTCATGACTATGGAGTGAAATAAAAACCTATGGGATGAAGGAGCTCCTGGGTGGCTTAGTCGGTTGAGCGTCTGACTTCCTCTCAGGTCATGATCTCATGGTTTGTGAGCTCAAGCCTCACATCGGGCTCTGTGCTGACAGCTCAGAGCCTGAAGCCTGATTCAGATTCTGTGTCTCCTTCTCTGCTTCTCCCCTGCTCATGCTGTCTCTCTCTCAAATAAAAAATAAACATTAAAAAAAAAAAAAACCTATGGGATGAAGGTCTGTTTGATTTAGAACTTCTACTCCCAGAAGTCAATAGCTCTACTACATAAAGGTGAGGGGCTTCGTTGCCCAGTGGAAACTGATGTGACATGGGCCAAGAGTAAATGCTCAAAGTATCTTGAGGCGTTTTTGCTGAAAGAGACTTTTTATTAAAGTCAGGGATAGGATCCAGGGGAAGAATTGCAATGTGATTGGGAGGAACCACTGATTATATACTTCTTTTTTTTTTTAAATTTTTTTTTTCAACGTTTATTTATTTTGGGGACAGAGAGAGACAGAGCATGAACAGGGGAGGGGCAGAGAGAGAGAGGGAGACACAGAATCGGAAACAGGCTCCAGGCTCTGAGCCATCAGCCCAGAGCCCGACGCGGGGCTCGAACTCACGGACCGCGAGATCGTGACCTGGCTGAAGTCGGACGCTTAACCGACTGCGCCACCCAGGCGCCCCTGATTATATACTTCTAAGGGGAAGGGGGAGGAAGCTGTGGGGGAAGCCGAGCTATCCCAGTCTGATGGCAAGGCCCAGGCTGTGGACAGATTGGTGACTGCAAGGCGGCGCACCAACAGTGAAGCTTCTTGTACTCCAGGTTTTAGGTAATTTGGCCTTACTAAAAGTACCTGGGGTATTGTCTGTTGGGGAACTGCCCTCGCCAGGCCCCCTGGGAAAAGAACCATTAGGAAATAAAATAAGGTTCTGCAAGAAATTGTGCAGCCCTATATTTAGCCCTTGCCATCCCCTATGGAGACTCCTCTACGTACAGGAAGGATAGCCTCATACATTTGCCAGCAAAGGAGGCCAATAAAGGAGAAACATATGGATTTGAAAGCCTCACTCTGGCAACTAAGGACTGTATCTACAGGCACAAGTCACTCTAACCCTAGTCCCACTTGGCCTCCAGGAGGCATTCCAGATGATGATAATGATTGAACCTCGTTGGTTAAGGT